GCCCACAAAGGGGTACACCTACAGCAGTGGTTCTCAACCTTCCTAATGCCGTGACTCTTTAATACAGTTCCTCATGTTGTGGTGACCCCCAATTTCAATGTTACAAATTGAACAAAATTAAAGCATAGTGATTAAGCACAAAAACAATATGTAATTATATATGTGTTTTCCGATGGTCTTAGGCGACCCCTGTGAAAGGGTCGTTCGCCCCCCAAAGGGGTCGCGACCCACAGGTTGAGAACCGCTGCTCTAGACACTGATTTTCAGTATACACTGGTCAAAGGAATTGACTAATTGAATTTCCTTCTGTGACAGTTTTAGATCTGAATGAAGACAGTGTCAACAACATCACCTTAGACCACGTAACTTGTGAGGGTTCTACCACTTCCTTCTTTCTTACTCGTATCCAAATGTTCATTGATACATATATTTGTTGCTGTTTTGTTTGAATAATTTTGATATTATATATGAGAACAGGAAATATCAGCAATACCTATGTATATTTTAAGATTGTTTCATATGGTGTACACTTTCCCATCATTATAGCATCTAAAAACATATTAAAAGCATAGTTGTCATCTCTATTTTTCTTCTGTTTTAGTATGCAGTATAATTTTGATATTATATATGAGAACAGGAAATGTCAGCAATACCTATGTATATTTTAAGACGGTTTCATATGGTGTACACTTTCCCATCATTGTAGCATCTAAAAGTATATTAAAAGCATAGTTGTCATCTCTATTTTCTTCTGTTTTAGTATGCGGTACTGTTAATCTGGGCCTTTGGTGTTCAGGTTGCACTTTCAACACTCATCTTCACAAAGAAAGAAGAGGTATGGAAAGTTCAGCCTTTTTTTAAAAAATCTAAAGAAAATTGAATATGTTAGATTTTTGAGACCTATAAGCCTATATTTAAAGCTAAAGGTAAATGTCTCTGGGGGTAAAAAGAGTCAGTGAAACTACTAGAATTCTATACAGGAAGGGGCCAGGTGCAGATGGGAAGGGTGGGTTTGGGAACTTGTCTTTTACTCTGCAGAAGACTGAGAATGTACATATAATAAAGAATGCGGAGGTAGAGGAGAAGATGCTGAGTGTGGGAAATCCAAAATTGGCCCCCAGCCCACCCTGGCTACCACTGCTGACCCAATCACTTACTATATTCTCTTCCATAAAGAAATATTTTCAACTTTTATTCATTTAAAATTTAATAATTTCATTAAGTAGATTGGAAAAAAAAGATAGACTGAATAATTCATGTATTTTGCACTGGTATGGCCATGAGTAAGATAGTTAAGTTAATTAGGTAAGTTCAAA